CCTTCTGTCACTGCTGCCCCGCAGCCCCCTTCCCCCTGCGCCCCTCACTTCCTCCCCTCCTCCCTCCACCCCTCACTGCCGCCCCGCAGCCCCTCTCCCAGCTCTGCCGGTGCCCCTCACTCCCCCCTCACCTTGTATGTCCGAGGCATGTGGGGCAGGAAGACCCCCCCGCTGCACTGGATAATGTCCTTCATGTGCTCGGGCTCCGGCTTGACGTTGGGGGTGACGTGGATCTCGTAGCCCTGGGGGAGGGGGGCAAGGCTGTGACTGACCCATCCCCTGCTGAGGGAAGGGGCGGAGCCTGTGGAAGGGGCGGAGCCAGTGAGGGGCAGGGGAGGCAGCTAAGCCCAGGGACCATGTGTCCACAGCTGAGACCTCGAAGGCGAGGCGCTCGTGACAGCGCCACCTGCAGGCGGCATCCTGCACAGATGGGTCCACCTGGGTGCTTAAGGCATGAGTGTGTGGGGAGGATCAGTCTGGACGCACCTGCAGCTGCCCCGCCCCTCACCCCCCAGTGTGGTGGATGGTGGGGAGGTGATTGGTGGGGGGGTGAGTGGGTTCAGAGGGTCTCACCTGCGACGGGCCAGTGGGGGGGTGGATGCTGGGGGGAGCCAGTGGGGTTTAGCCTGCAGCTGGGCCCCCCTGCGTGGTGAACAGTGTGGGGGAGCAGGGGTCTCAACAGCAGGGCCCCCCGGCATGGTGCAGTGGGGTGTCAGTGGGGTCAGAGGGGTGGACGGGGGGGGGGTCTCACCTGCAGCAGGGCCCCCTGAGCGGTGCCAGGAGAGTCAGTGGGGTGGATGGGGGGGGGGTCTCACCTGCAGCAGGGCCCCCCTGCGCGCTCGCTGCAGCGACTGGGCGAGGCTGAAGTGGAAGTTTCGCTCCTGCTCCGCGTCCCGCACCAGAAAGCCGCTGGGCGACAGGAAGCAGGCGCTGCGCCCACTCTGGGGGAGGGGAACGGGGGGACAGCGTCACCTGGGGCAGCCCCCCAATGTCGCTTCCTCCCCGCCATCGCCCCAATCACTCCCTCCACCCTGCCCCCCCTCACACACACACCCTGCCCCTTCCCCCCGGCGGTACCTTGTCCAGCCAGTCCAGCGTGACGATGGGCACCCCGCGGGCCAGGGCGCACAGGAACTTCACCGTGCGGCGCACCCGGTCCGTCACCAGGTGGGTGCAGTCGAAGACGGACCGGGCCAGCGCCCCGCCCAGCGCCGAGACCACCCGCTCACCCGCCTCGTCAATCACCCCCGTGAACAGCACCTGGGGGAGGGGAGCACAGTCAGCATGGACCAGCCCATCCCCGCCCCTCGGAACCAGGGTGGCTTGGTATAGTCCCTTCCCCACCCCGCCCAGGGGCAGGCTAACTTGGTATGACCCCTCCCCACCACCAGGGGCAGGGCTGTTTGGTACGGTCCCCTCACTCACACGCGCACACACACACACACACACACACACACCCACCCCTGGGCAGGGTAACTTGGTACGACCCCTCCCACCCCAACTCCCGGGGGTGGGGTGGGAGGGCTGTTTGGTACAGGTTCCTCATCCCCTCCCCACAGCAAGGCACCATGGTAAAGTCCTCTCCTACCCCACCCTTGTGGCTTGGTACATTCCCATTAGGACTGTTAAAGTTTGGGGTACAGCCGCCCCCCACACCCTAACTTGGTACAGCCTGACCACCCACTTCCACTCCAGAGCAGTTGCACCATATTCAGCAGCCGTGCGAGGACCTGAGGGGCCGTGTCCTGCCCCACGTCGGCCCCAGCAGTTAGCACAGGGCAGGGGGCCTCTGGACTCTGAACAAACAGCCCAACGGAAACCCTGAGTGTTGAGGGGAGCTAAAAATAAAGCGTTGAGGGGAATTGCTGGCCACAGCAACAACCGACCACCAGGGTGTCATGGCAGCGAATTGACACACACAACAGGTACACGAGCTACAGCCGCAGACAGCGCATCACAAGAGCACCACGGCCACAAATTAACCTCCTCAGGGGTTCTCACGACACATTTTTGGTGGCCTGCAACCCTTGCTGGTGGCCACTCTGCCCATTTTTCCTAAAACGCTTAATTAACATTAGGAAAAACAAATAAATATGCACCAAACATCCCCATCCCGGTCATTGATTCATGCAGGATTTTTTCCTGACTCAATAATAAAAATAACGTAGAGTTGCCTCTATTCTTTACTGGACCAACACAAAATAGAAACACAAATAAGGTGCTTTGCACTCTTTGGAGGAGGGTGGGTGGGGGGTGTTTTTGGTTTGTTAGCTAGTGGTCTCCTGCTGTGAGAAGTGACACTTGTTGTTACTATCACTTTTCACAATCTCCCAGCGAGCTGCTAAGTCTGCTGTGAAATGTGATATTAACGAACTGACGAATATCACTTTTCCCAGCAGATTTGTTGCGACAAATTAAACCCTGGAGGCCATGGGAAGGGGTGGGGAGCTGGGGGGGACGGAGCCCGAAGCCCCAGGGCTGAAGTCTGAGCCCACCGCCTCTGAGAAGGTGGAGAACTCTGTGTGTCCCCCCGGAGGGGGGCAGATTATATATAATCTATAGATGGCTCTACACAGTCTCTGTCGTCCCCACTATGCTCCCTTCTCCGAGCCAGGATAGAACCCAGAGCTGGGAGATACTTGGGGTGGGGTGGGAGTTGGCACCCCCTAGAGGGGAAGGGCCCCCGTGTCCCACCCTCCCCACCCCCCAGTCCTGGGCTCTCTTACCCTGGGGGAGGCCGTACCGCCGGCTGCCCCCTGGGATCGGCGAGGGGCCCTGGCCCGCAGCCCCTCCACCTTGTTCTCCGTGCTCTGGCGGCGCAATGGGGGGACCGGCGCCTCCTGCAGGGGGAATGGGGTGAGTGAGACTCACTTATAGCCCTCCCATCCTGCCCACCACACCCACCCCAAGGAGATCTCCCCACCAACCCCTTGACAGACCCCACCCCCCAGCCACTTAGATCACACCCCCATAGTCCCACCCCCCAGCAGGAGAGGCCCTGCCCCTCGAGTCCACCCCAGCAATGGATTTCCCCCTCCCTATCAGGCTTCGCCCCCAGAAAATTACACCCCGCCCATTTTGCAAACAACCCCAGCCAATCTGTACTCCCTGTCCCCTGGTACCAGACCCCACCCATAGCATATTAGGCCCCGCCTCCCAGTGGCCAGGCCCCATCCATAGCAACTGAGGGGTGGGACCTGACCCTTGGGTGGGGACTTTCTCTCAGCCCTGCCAGTCCTGCCCAGTGGCCTGTTACACACCTGCCTCTTTCTGGTGTCGCTCCCAGCATCCTCTTGGGCAGCAGCACCACCCGCTTGTCCCTCGCCTCGTGCTGGAGGCGGATCCGGGGTGGCCGCCCCTCTCCGCTTGCCTCGGGCCTCCCTGGCTGGCTCTGCAGCCCCCCTCCTCCTGGAGGCCGGCT